CTTACACCATCAGAAGTGCCTGGCTTCTTCTTTTTCCCTCTCATAATAACTCCATGATTTAACCCACAGCCGCCAGCTCTTGCATCCGCATGAGCTGGCGGTTGAGGTCTGATGAGGTCTGATAACATCGGCGGTAAGCTCCGTTTGAAGGTCAGAATTCAGGGCACAATTAGCCCACCTCTGTTTTGTCAGGAAATGTAGATCCGCTGCGTAATCTCACACAGCAAACAGAGGCGCTTTGAAAAATGCAGCAGGAGTCTCCGGCAGCTTCTCACGTCTGCACGCAACGAGGTGAAGATGAACCATGCCAGTCTCTCAGTGGGCTCCCGATTATAAGGCAACGGAACCATCAGAGTTGTAATGAAATTCCATGAGAGCGTGTGCCATGACCCAGCGACCAACCATCAGACTAAAGCTAATACCAGTACACAGCGAGAGGAGCTCAGTGGAGATCAGTGCACTAGAACTAATAAAATTCACATGGAAACCCCGACAAGAGGCAATAAGATTTCTGCCGACAGTCGGTTTCCCGTCTATCAAACCCCCCCCCCCCCTCTTTTTTTTACTCACCACCTCCAGTGAGGAAATGACTACAAAACAGGATGAAAAGGATTGTGCTGTGGCATGTACTATATCTTGGGTGGCTTGCTTGATGGAATTGGCTCAGCATGTATGTCATGTTGCAGGGAGTTTGAAGGATATGGGAGCATAGCGTGGTTTGGTAAGAAGGCAGGTGAGATAAAGAGAAATGATGTGGCTCATCTTCTGTACCTGTATTCTATCAGCTCGCCACAGACTGCAGGTCCTGGCTGCAGAGACCAAAGACTCTCTGGAGGACAAGAGAGATGTTTTGGAGTCAGAGGGAAAATGGCATCCCGCTTATCAAATGCCTGGAAACGTAATCCCACACCCCCACCCCACCTCAGTTCTTGGTGCTGGATGTACTTATGAAAGCCCTGTCACTTTGGATAGTAGGTTAGGAGTCAGTAGTGCTCCACAGCACAGCGAACTCCGAGCTGGCTGTCTCAAAGCAGATATGGCTCCTTGCCAGAGAGTCTAATTGGGGTCGTGTTACAAGTCATTTTGTGTGTGTAACTTTTAGAGATGGAATTCAACAAAAGGAAATCCACGCCTAGAGAGTATAGCTGATGGGAGGCGTGATCCTCCTCAAATTAATCTTTTAGATTAAAGTACGGCATGTGAAATTTTTTTTAACTGCAATAGAAAGGCCCACTTTTAAATTAAAAACCCTGGGACGAAGGGAGCGATTGCGCATTATTTTTTTTCACAAAGCTTGTTCGTCTCCTCCTAATTTTACGAGACACGACGCGGGGACAGAAAAGAAAACAAGCCCATTCTCTCAGAAAGGGGCCTTGTGGAGCCGAGGCGGCAGAGCGCAGATATATTGTGTGCTTGGTTTAAGGACTACACACATCCTGCGATGCTGTCTGCCAGAAAACATTTAGGTATCATCAGTATTTTTTTTTTTTAATCTCATTTTGCCAACAACAAAGTGGCCGTCTGCTGCATTTCTAAAGCCTGACGGTGAGAAACTGAAATTGATTTCTCTCCCAAAACAAGGTTTCTCCAATCCAGTAAAATCCATCAAAGTCATTTTCTTTGTCATACAGTATAATCTTGGCGACATGAAGCAAAATATTCAGTGAAGACGGGCTTCTAAAAATCACACAGAGCAGTGTTGTTCGCGGTCTCTCAGGGACTGGCCGGGGGCAAAGGGTGAAACTCATCACTGCTGGCTATTCAAATATGCGTCGACAGTGACTTAAAGAGACACCTTCATGACTGAACTGTATTTCAAATCAATCTCTTTTGTGCTGAGGCCACATCCTCTTGTCCGTGTTCCTAGGTGTCTGTTCCGGCTCTTGGAGCGAGGTGATGGTTTACACAGCGATGTGCAATCACTGGAATATTTCCTTTCACGGCTTATCTGCCCACAGCGGGAATCTGCACGGACCGCGACTCGAAGCCCCGGCTGTCTGCTCGCCTGTGTGCCGCGGCCTCCCCCTCCAATCCTGACCAAGCTCTCAGACAAACATCTCCATGGGAGCATGGGATGATTTATTCAGCGCAACTTAGCGGCAGCGCGGAGATTTGGGACTTAGTTCAACAAAGGTCTTTTATGGTCAACCACAAAGCAATAACAGCCGTTTTAACCTGTAAAGCCTGCAAGGAATGACCGAAGGGGGCACTGAATGATGCATTACGATTCAAAAATGACCTTTCAAGTCTTGGGCAGACACTTCGCGTTACCTACAAGGGATACTCTATAGAAAAGAAGCAAGGTTTAAGGGCTGTACCAATGTTTTTATTCATTTTAATCCCTGCGGACCAACGGCATGCTGTTTTGTTTTCGATTTTTAAATGTTGGTGCAGTAGCATTGGTTTGTATGTGGTTGGTTTATATGTGTTTTTGGAGTTTTAGCTCTCCAAAAAGATTCAAATTAAACTTTGGGAGAAGGGAACATCCCACACTGCTGTTGTACTGCTTAGTGCACTTTTTGGGCTTTAAATGGTCTCAAGTCTAAAAGGTGGTGAATCAGTGAAGAAAGAATAACATGATCCTTTGTGGGTTGAGAAAAGTCACCTCCTTCTTAGGCTCCTAACCATGTCAAATAAAAGATCAGTGTTTTGGTCTTTTTGTGCAGTAATGGCGATACAATTGCAGGTAGGAGTGCCCTAATGACCTGTAACTCTACACTTAGTCCGATGATGCTTCCTTAAAGGTAAAACACTAGTGCGCCTTGGACAAAGGTCAGCACTAATTGAAAGTGAGATAAAACACCTGTATGGTCCTTGAAGCACACACAACGATGCACAAGTCGTATGTAGCAAGAGCACCAAGGTTGTTGTTTTTCCAACACATCCAATGAACTCAGATTGGTAAAAAAGGAATTTTATCTAAACGTGATCTAAACGAGAAAACAGAGGAAAAACATCCCCCTTCCACCTCAGCATGATGAAAGCTGCTGCGGTCCACACATTGTTCAGCGACTGGAAACAAGAGGCCTGGTTCACACTGCATCTGCTGGGCCTCCCCCCATTGCTCACTGTCTCTCTCTCCAGGGAGACAACAGCCACGGACCACGGCGGCCCAGCAGCCACCTATAGCCGGCTCCGGAGCGTCCCAGACCCACGCTCATCTCGTCCCCGGCCCATTCGTTTTCTTGGAAAGTGACAGTTTGGGGTTATACATATTGTGGCGTTGGTATTTAAAGCTTCCTACCGCTTTGTATCCCACTGTCTAGAAAACAGGACCTTCAGTGAGGCTATCCGCACATTCATCATCGCACGAGGACTTACTGTAAAGCTGCTGCAGCCACTGTCCCTTTGAGTGGCCAGCTGGGAGGACAGCACGGCTTTCAGATTGATTTCCACGAAGAGCAAACACAGAAACAGACAAAACCAAAGCAAAAGGCTGGCGCTGATGTAGCACATAAGGTAAATCAAATTGATGCAGTTGAGCTGTGCTGTAACCTTTTTTTAGCAGCTAATATGAACACTGGGATATGTCACATGTGTGTGTGCGCACACAGAAACACGGAGGAGATAACATATAACATAACATATGTTATCTGTCCGGACACGTCACTTTCTGTTAACAATGTTTTGGTGAGTGAGGACGCCTGAACCCATTTCCAAACAGGCAGAAGCCTTGAGCGCCGAGCCCCTTCAGGCAAACTCGCTCCCCACTGACACGGCTGCACCGTCCTCGTCAGCCTCCTAAATAACTAAATAATCTCCAGAATAAGCCAATTGTTTTGCCCGCAGCCGGGGGGAAATGCTCAAACAGCTGTTACAATGAAAAGGCCATTTCCTCCTGGCAAACCGCATTTCACCTAATAATAGACAAATAGTGTATTTGGCCATATAGGCAAAGTGTCAGGGGAGAGCTGGGGTTATTGTACAGTGTTGAGCTGTTGCCCGCAAGTGTGAGGAACAGTGTAGAAAATAGGTTAGAGGAAATAAAAAGGAGGAAGTTCAGGACAAACTTAATACTGGGCTCATATTTCTAAAAAACAAGTTGTGAAAATCTGCACAATGCTGAAGGAGGTTGAGATAAAACATGTTCTATGTTATAGAAGCACATCCTGGTTAACGTCTAAGGTGTTGTTTGTCCGTCAATTATGCAAATTGGGACCCTAAGATGTGAAAGATGCAGGATTTTTTTTATTATTTCCATTGTGGCAAAGATTCACCAGCAAACAGAAGAGACGCGCTGATGAAACTACAGCAACATTTTAAATGGCAGGGGATGAACCTCACAGCAGATCCAGCCCACTGCCTGCTCTGGAAGGAAATGAAGTGAACGAAAACAGAATTGAATTATTCCGAAAAAACAGAAAGAATAAAAAGGGCCCGGATCATCTATTACACCGAACAGTGGGGGAAAAATAAAAGTTCTGGGCTTCCAGTTGCAAACATGCAGAGTCGGGAACAGGCCATTTAAATGATTGTGCTTTGGCAGTCTGCTGCTTAGTCAATCAAAAAACAAAGTAATGTATTTGGGGGGGGGGGGGTTCTACTGCAATCAGCGTAATTTAGGTGTTTGTTCATGAGTGAAACTCCATATCAAGTAACAGTTCTTGAACAGAATGTATTACATACCGGCTGTCACATTGTGTTTAATCACATCCCAATATTTCTTCTTTTATTTCAACCCAAGCTGCATCATCATCATCATCATCATCATCATCATCATCACAACTGGATCTTTGTGCTTGAACGCGCGCATGTCTGTGCTCAAGATGAGCTGCTTATGTTGCCACAACCAGAGTGTTGTGACCTTCTTTAGGAGTGATGGAGAGCCACGCGCCATAATATATGTCCCACACACACACACACACACACACACACACACACGTGTGTAGACACACACTCACTCACTCAATCACACCGTGAGGTCTGGGGACACATCTGGGCAGGGGAGAACAAAAATATATCCTCAGTCAATGAACGAGATCCGGCAGCGGCGGGCTTACCTTTGACAATGCTCTGGCCGTGCAGTGCGTCTCTGGAGACGATCACCGTGTAGAAGTTCTGGGAGAAGCCTGGTCTGCACGGGGGTTTGAGGGCCTGGCCCGCCTTACTCCCCTGAGGAGGAAAACAAGACGGGCTGTTAAGCACTAGCAGCCACAGGGTCACAATCTGATCAGACTGATATTGAACCTCGCATGACCATGATTTGGTTCAGATGAAAACAGCATGCTGCACTTTCACAGTGTGTAGTAATAATAATTGTCATTATCGCCATTACAGATGTTGCCATCGCACATTGAGCGACATAAAAACGATCACAGAAGTCATGATAATGGCGTCGATGATGAACCATTATAACGGTGATGACTGTGGCTAGCAGGAAATGTTGGACCTAAATGTTCATACTGCCTGCTGACTGGAGAGTGAGAGAGAGGGGGGGGGGGGGGGGGGGCACAGAGTGTGTGCATGTGTGAAAGAGACCAAAGAAAGATATTTTGAATTATACTGTTGATTTATATGCACATTGCAGGCACAGCAGGCATTCTCCACATTTTCATTCTCCACAGAATGCACCATCAGCACACAATAAAAACCCACCTCATTCATCACACATCAATTTGTGTTTTTGTAAAGGAAATATGTTGCACTATACAGGCGGCCCAGTGCTTCCCTGACACTTGAACAAAGCTCAACAAACCGCTGCAGACATCGAGGAAATCAAGCTGATTTTAGAGCATAATTTGCATAAGTTTGAAAATAAAGTAAGGTAAGCTATTCGTATTTTTGTCCCTTAAAATCATCCTTCTTAAACAAGCACTAAACCAGAAAACCGAGTCGTCAAGTGAGTCATTAATTCAAGATGTGTGGAGGGGGAGAAATGACGGTGCGTAACGTGAAACGAAGTTGATCGCAGCAAACAGAACGAGAAGCCCCTCCAGAAACCACTGTCCTCTGCAATAATGCACTGCAGCTTATTTGGGCGAGAGGATGGGGAGGCTGGCGAACAGAGTTGCCTCCGACTTTCTTTTCTTTCTTTTTTGGTCACTGCAGTTAAAACAGAAATATTCTTGACCTTAAACGTCGCCGAATTAAGCTCTATTACACGCATCATGTTGCCTTTAGCGCAGCGCTACGGGGGAAAGTGAGTCAATCTCTCACACGCAAACACACACACACACACACACACACACAGAGACACTTTCGTGGGCTCACAGGGCGCGCTGCAAAGCCCGAGTGAGTAAGCGCCACAGCAGTGCAGCACTGCCACTGTACCGACAGCCGGAAAGACGCGTAGAAACGAACTCATCTTACCGAGGATGCGCCCAGAAGTAAGGTGCACGCCAGGATGACGCAGCCAACGTTCATCTTTGCGAACTCGCGTGTGTATGGGGAGACACACACAAAAAATAAGAGGAAGAGATGAAGTCTTCTTCGCCAAAGACACCTCAGTAATTCCCGGAGCCCTGTTTCTTCTTCTCGGGTGCTAAGCGAACGACCGTCCCTACTTGTCTGGCGCAAAAGTGCCGCTGAGACAGGGGGTTGCTGCGCTCCGTCCGGAGGAAGCCGGTGCCCATTGGATAGCAGCGTCACTACAACCCCTCCTACCGCACGGCGGAGCGGGCAAGGCAGTGCGTGCTTTCTGTGCCTCAGACGACTCCCTGTGATGACGCCCCGTGCGCTGCTGGGCTCTGTGGGGAGGGAAGAAAAAAAGAGAAAAACGCATTTTCCGGGCTATTTAGATTCATATTTTCTCTTCAAATGGAGCAAAGGCGGGTCCGGCGGTGTGAGTGACGAGCAACCATGCGAGTCCCTTCACGTGTCCATCAGCTAACTGGAGTCTATTTCACACCCCAGTTACCCCCTCTTCCCCTGATCCACGGTATAAGTACGGCAAGAGCTGCCGGGTTATGAGCTTTTTATTAAAGCTGCTATGATAGACCTCTGCGGGATAAGAATGTACGCTTCAAATGAAATAAAAGTCCAACGAATCAGCAGCCTGAGTGACGATCCACAGGAAATATGTCTCTTTGGTTCAATATTTAGCCATTCATATGTTTTTAATACTTATTTCTGATGTGGATTATTCCATTTATTGTTATATGTCAGGAGTTTTCAGACCCTATCTTTAAATCACTCTGCTGGAGAGAATGTGTGAAACCTTTTTTTCTTCTTTAAAAAAGAATGAAAGAAGATAACTTGAGATTTATAAAACTTATATTATTACTTATATTATTAGGCTGATAAATCTACAGTTGTGTGAAATAAAGCCTAAGAAAAAGTGTGAACTGTGCCTTTAACTGGTCTCACAATTTAATAATGTTGACATTTCCAAAGCCTCAGATCAGTGGCTTAATTTCCATATCTGAGAGGTCATGACAATTTAATCCCATCAAAAGGAATATGACAGCATTGCGGTGCCAATCAACAGGCCCCAGCCTGCCCCTGTCACTGCCATTCACGTTACTGCTTTATTTGCACCGCTAACTCCCACAGTATTGAAAAGCTGTCTCTGTATCTCAGTTCCCTTCTTTCAGTTTCTTTCCTTTAAACGGTATCTTCAAAAATAAACTGCTTGAGGCTGATAATTAAGGAGTACTCTTCTTCGAGTTGACTACTGCAGCTCGGTGGGTGTTTCTGTCCAGGGGCCAGGATTTTGTTTTTTTAAGGTCAGAGATATCAGAAATGCACTCCACTCGTCGGCCCGCAGGACATTGTGCTTTTGCTTTTATTACATACCCTAGAAAAACTTGGCAGAGGAACTGTGTGACAAGGATTTAAAACTATGCGTTGTACAATAAACAATGAGTCGAATGAATAATGTCACACCTTTGTGTCAGTCACTGTCATTTCCTCACATGGGACCAAGCTGCTGACAGGAAGGAGGGTTGAGAAGGAAAGGAGGAATTGTCTTAGTGTTGCTGAATACGGCACGTCCTCCAGTGAAACATACTCCTGCCAGCAGTGCTACCATATTTTCCTGCATCCAGAAGTTAGTTAAGGCCATAAGCATGCTGTTTTAACTCTACACCTAATTAGTAATGAACATACAGTGCATAAAGTGACCGAGGCCGGCTCCCCCCCCCCCCCCCCCCCTCCCCCTATTCATGAAATTATTGTTTTCCTGAATTGGTACCCTGAAGACTGGCCCGGCCGATCCTCAGCTCAGTAAATTTCTGCGTGGCTCGAAGGTACCCTGCCAGTTTCGGCACGCGAGTAAATTATTCCTCTCGAGTATCGAGCATTCGCCTAATAAAAACACCATCTGGGCACTTGAAGTGAATTGGTTTAAGGCTGTGATGAATTATTAAACAAATCTTACAAAATGGGTCCCCGTTCTCTTTTTATTGTGGGGGGGGAAAGACATTACCGTCGCAAACGCCTTACAATCGGCGTACACAAATTCTGCTTTCTGTTTGTTTAAATGCTTTTCCTCCTCAGTCACGTCTGGAGAGTTACATGTTACTCTCAAGCATCTCCCAATCTCTTGGTTTCTCTCTGCCTCTCTTTTCTTTTGGCTCGGTTGGACACCACAAGCCACATTTATACAATATTTTCATTCATAAATTTGGTTTCGAGAACAGCACAGTTTTTTTTGTTGTTTTTTTTGTATTAAATTGATCACCAAAGGCACAACATTTGTGATGGCTCATTGGGAATTTAATGATCCTGCTTGCATGAATTAGGGCCAACAAGTACTTGATCACTTAGGTCTGATACCAGCATAATTAGGGAAGACATCTGACTTACTCGAGATTTATAGATGGATTCATGGATTAACATTCATGATTATCTTATTTTCATGATGCACTTTTTGTTAGTACACGCCGGTGTTCCACCCACCGTTGGAGTGAGACTTCATGAACTGATGATAGTGATCATAGTGGAGTGTCTCGCTATCACTCAACATATCAACAGCTCTGACTTGGTTCCAAGCAACATCTGCACATCAATTATAGTTGTGTCTCATTATACTTAATGGGGAAAGAGGTTGCAAATTGCAAATGTTATTTATTGGCAATGACGTTTCTGTAAACTAATTTGTAGGTGTTGACCCTTCACCCCTATGGAGTCAGACAGGTTATTGACATGGTTTCTACTTGAGAAAAAGTTACTTTATGTAAATGTCAGCAAGTCCCACATAATAATGACAAAATCTGTTGTTAGTTCAGGCTCTCGAGAGCGTTTTCTGATCTGAGAGTAAGTACTTTGTTACGGTAAAGGGACATGAATTAAGGGTTAAGGACATGGTTATGGTTTGGGAATGATCGTGAGTATGGCTAAAGAAACCCACGTTCTCTTCTGGTATAGGAAACAGAAAAAAACTAACAGCAATCCCCCCGTGTTAAAGTCTGATCTTTGTCGACCCATCCATCCATCCCGACTTCCTCCCTCTGTGGGCTTTTCCGGTCTATAATGAATGGACTTTCTCCTTTGGTCCCATCATAATTACTGTGGCTTTGTCACTTGAACATTAACATGTCTTTATGTTGTTGTTTTGGGGCACTTGCTGAAATGACTAATTCTGTAGTTTTTTTCTTGGGATGACTCTTAAGAAAATGTTTTTATTGGTTATGAGTATAGTTTCTGTAGGTTCCACCAAAAAACATTGAGTCTGGTTGATTGGGTCACTGTTTTTAAAATGAGCTATCATATTTTGAGAATGTCCGTCCACAAGAACTAAACTATAGGTAATTTCTACAAGCAGCATATTTATGTTCATATAAGGCAGCGCTCTAGTGGCTGCAGTAATTATGACGCGAGCAAAGGAGGAGGTCAGGTGACGTAGTATAGCGAGATGTCTGTGTAGGTAGGGGGAGAGGGTAAATGTATGGGTCAAACACAGGACTGTGACCCAGGAGACCAGTGTTCATGTCATGTGTCATACCAAAATTCAGCATTGACTCATTTTAACGTATGTAACTTGCATCTGTAACTTAAGTTACGTGACAAATATACTTACTTTAACCCAAACCATAATCTTTTGCTAAACCTAATCAAGTAGTTTTGCGGCCTACACCAAACCCAACTGTGACCGTTTCACAACTTTAAACCCACGTTTATAACTGTAACCTGTGCGTCATGTTAGAGGGTGGGAACTAAAGATCTAAATGGTAATATCAGTTGGAGGACTTGGCGCATATTGTAGACCTTCAGAGTTCTAATAAAACCCGTTCTTACGGAAATTCTAAATTCTAAGGTGTATAAAATCCATCATGAATCTTGAAAGCTAATTAATGGCATCAAATGTTTCTTCGTTTCCAACCCGCCCCGGTTATCCTGAATAAAAAACATGCAGGGATTTTGAGAGGCGGATAAATGGAAGTAGTACTAAACCACAGCTGAAGACTGAGAGGACGATAAGACAATATTTCTGATTCCTCACTGGACCAAAGTCGTAAGGCACCTCTCAAGTCTATGAAGTCATAGGTGTTGACTACTTAGTAAACAGTATCTCAGAACCATCACTGAGAGCCACATGCACTTCACTCAGTTAGTGTTGAGGCATTTCACAGCTTTGTGCCTTCGTCTTATCAAACAGGTTCATTCTTATTATTGAAAAAAGAATATGTGTGCAAACTTTCACACAAGAAGAGTTACTTCTTCATTGTCTGTTGGTATATTTAAAGCTGATTAGGTGTTATTGTGTATGTAGCTCATTTGCTATAAGCCAGCCAGCTCACTACTCATTACTCCCTGCCAAGCAGACGAATGAAGCTGATAAAATGAGAACCAAAAAGGCTAATATCCCACTAGAGCATGTAATTAATAGGTGTGTTGGACACTTCATGTCAATCCCCATGAATTTGCAGTGTGACAGAATCAGTTTGTGTCAACTTTGCTTTGAACAGACGTTCTCACGAGGTGGAAGAGTCACTCAGAGTTCATCAGGGCAGCGATACCACTGATGATGCAACTATTGCACCTTTGTCAACTGCGCGGGGAATAGTACGACTTGCCGTCGATGTGAAACTCTCCTCGCTGCTGTCCAAGGAGAAAAAAAATTCACAGACATTTTCAGATTTATGTGACACCAAACGTCAAATCAACCAAACTCTCCAGAGTAATTTAGTCTCTCAGACAGAGAGAGAGAATCATTGCAGATGTGTCAAGAGTGCAAAGATTTCTGGAATATTTGGAGGCTAATGAGGTTTTTCAATGATACACGTGATTCAGAGGAAAACAATGTTGCAATTGCTGCCACTATAAATGGTATGAAGAGATTTTATCTTACCATCTATGCAGCTATATGTGTGTGTGTGTGTGTGCAATTCACACCATATGAGTGGAATATGCTTTATTATGGCAACACCAATAGTGCATTAAGTATTGATAGGACAATTTCAGTATACTTATCACATGTTGTTTGGTCTTTTGCACAAAAAAAGTATCTTCCATATAGTGAGTATGCTGTAACAATAATTTATGAGGGTTTGAGGGTTTTTCTCCCTGAAGATTCAGGTTGATGCAGTTGTCTGAATATCAAATTGATGCACACAGAGAAACTGAAAGGGGCAAAGGAAGGTAAGCTCCATTAAACTGCAACACAAATTCTGCACAAAC